GGGAGGGGGAGGGGGTGGAGGCGGGGGTTGGAGGGAGTGGTGGAAGTGCTTGGAGAAGGACTGCTTTCACTGGTCATGTTGACTGCATTTTGTAAGGTTGGGTTGGCATAAGTCACTGTAGTAGTGCCTTTGGCACTGCCCTCGGAGCTCTCCTCTGTCTTGCTACTGGCATCTTTGCTCTCTCCCTTAGAAGGGACAGTTTGAGCAACGGTCTGCGTGGGATTCGTCAAAGCCTTCGTGCTGCAGAAATGGGTTTCTGGATTCGGTGACGTTGTGGTGCTCACGAAGGTGACGGTGCCCTTCCCGATGGTCACGATCTCGTTAGCGCTGGGCGGAATGACGGCGCACTTTCCCTGCGGGGGGAACATGGTGAACCCCGTGGTGGCTACAGAGACCGTAGTGATGGTGCTGGGCAGCGTCAGCGTCGTGTGGGGGAAGTTTTCCGCCTGTGGCGACATGAGCTGAGGCTGGAAGGAGGAGACGTTGGGCCGCAGGCTGTTCCCCTGGGTCCTGTTCTCCACCTGTGTGGTGGCGATGACTGCCGTGGCGTTGACCGTGGGGATGATCCGTCCATCCAGCGGGCTCTGGAGGGGCGGCACGGGGCTCTGGTCGCTCCCATGTCCCATCTGGGGTACTGCGTTTGGGACGATGGGTATTGCATACGGACGGTTGGGAGGGAAGCCTTTGTCCATGCGGCCCATGTGGGGCTGCCGGTGTGTCCAGTGGCTGCGATGCTGCGTCTCCACATGGCAGAAGGGGGGAGGGGGCGGCGGCGGAGGAGGGGGTCTCTGTTGGGAGGGGTGGTGCAGGCTGGCTCTCCTGTTGTGGGGAGGGTTCCTCCAGGCGTTGGCTACCTGCCTCGGAGGGTACTCGTCTGCTGTGGGGACAACAAAACAATGTGAGTTCTGATTCAGAATCAGACGTTTTTGCCGACCCATCTCTCACCCAATGTACATGCTGGCCCTTAGGTTTGGGAGGTTTTACTGTGTTCTTGACTTTTAGTTTTTTTTTACTCAAACCTAAACATTTTTCATGTCTGGAACTGGTCCAGCAAACCGGTGCACAGCACTACTATAGAATTGGAAGTAAGAGGAGCAGAACCCCCACCTTTCTCCTCCTCGTCACTGCTTTCTGATGACTCCTTGTCCTCGTGCCTGGGGCTGGAGGGAGTGGGGGAGCTGCAGCACTCGGAGCTGGAGCTGTCCCCACTGTTGGACGGCAGGCTCTGCATGTGCAGCAGGTTCTGGGGAAACACATTGGTGGAAAAGGTAATTACCTTTGCCAAGAAGGTTATGTGTTCAGAAGTGTTTGTCCGTTTGCTTGTCTGTCTGTGAACAGCATAACTCAAGGGGCTTTGTATGCATTGTCATGAAACTTGGTAGGTGGGTAGGTCTTGATGAGACCTAGAAATGACAAAATATCTAGAAACAAAAAAAATGCTGTCAGCATATCTGCTCGTAACATACACATTGAAATCACCCTCTATGGAGGTCAACTGAACTGCAGTCGACTCACCCGGAAAGCCAGTTGTTAAATACGGCGCATTTATACACGAACTGCAAAACCTTCACAATTCAAATCATACAGTATTAAACCCTATACATTCCTATACCACACAGTACAATATTTATATCTGGCTGACGCTCACATCAGGATTTCTACCCAGTCTTCAAGAATATTTGCTGTACTATTTTCTATACCCACGTCATAGACCTCGGGGGTTGCACATTAGTACTTCTTCAATCACAACCTGCCTAGAGGTGCAGACTGACCTGATGCGGCATGGGCTGCACCGTGGGAGGGTAGTTGGGGGGCGGTGTCTGGATGGGGGACGGAGGAGGCATGACCGGCATGGGCCCGGTCACCACCGCGGTGGCCTGATGGATGGGGATGTCCACATGCAGTCCGTTCATGGGCCCTTTCCTGAAAACGGCAGTCACGTGTTAGCATAAAGGTTCACATGAATGTGCAACATCAACGCCTTTTGTTTTAGCACGTCGGCAGAACTTACTGCGCCTGTGTGAAACCCAGTTATCATTGCATCAGAATTTTGTCCGTTGTAGACGGTATCTTTTCCGATGCAATATTAGAAAACTGTAGACGGGATGACATCCTTAAACGCGCGAAGATGACCTTAAACGAGACGTTCTGCCGACGTGCTACACATGTATGCACATTACATTACAGGCTTTGCGCAGAACCACATTCTATGGTGGTTCAACAAACAAACAAGCATGTCTGTCCAAATGCCAAGCTCCCTGCAGTGGCTATGGACAGGCAAAATTCAGAGCTTGGGCATACATTTATTTGGCGAAGCCACCTGGGTTAGACAGCATGGACAACATTAGACAGCAATTTCGTTGATTTCTTTCTTGATCTGAAGGATCTCAACTGATTTTCAAGAGAGACTTTTAAGGTAAGGCAATGTGAAAGTTCACCTTCTCCCTGCTGCCCGACTTATCAAGCAATACAAAGAAAAGGGTGCCATGTCAGGCTACCTCAGCAACGATGATGTCCAGAGTTGGATGGACAAGTGTCCAAAATTAATGTTTTGGGGCCTACGTTCCTATTGCAGCAACAATCTGCAACACATACAACTATTCTTAAGCATGGACATCTACCAAAAATTGCTGTTACTTGGATCCATACTGGTTGTGCATGCATTTCAGATAGTGCTTGGCTTTTCCATGTCCTGACTGGCCTGGCTTTACCATACTAACCTATGGGTACAGGTGGTCTTGTTCTTGGGCCCCAAGACCGCTCTGTTCCACAAGAGGGGAGCACAAGAGGCAAGCAAGGGGGTACATGTCAGTCAGATGGCTGGCAGTGTATGGGACCTTCATAACAGACTGTCACACAGACACAGACACACACAATACATACACACATAATACACACACACACACACACACACACACACACACACACACACACATAATACACACACTCACATAATACACACACACACACATAATACACACACACACACACAAACATATAATACACACACACACATAATACACACACACACACACATAATACACACCAAATTTCAAGTGACCAGTTTTAGTACCAGATTCATGTAGCAGGATTACAATTATTAATCCCTGTGGAGTAAGACTATCAGTAATAAAACAGTCAGGGTTCAGTACAGTAAGAGATCACTTATACCCAAAGTTCCCCTCCATACTACTGCTATACATGCTTTCCCAAACGTACAACATTTGGTAAAGCATCTATAGCAGCGACACCTGTGCTGCAGTCAGGGCTTTAGCCAGCTCGAAATTTTTTACCGTCAACCCCAGGTCAACCCAATTCGCAAAAAAAAAAATACCGTCAACGCGAAAAAAAAAATTCCGTCAATGATTACTTTTAAAGAATGTCTTTCACGATCCGGTGATCGACATCACGCCCTCCCGCACACTTAATGCATTCGGTGTTCTAAATACCCGTCAAGATTGCAGAATTAAAAAAAACTACACAACCTGCAATTTTGCAGAATGAAAAAAAAACTACAGTTCTCACAAGGAGACAACGCGCAATGAACAATCCGCTATGCCCTTTGTTTTGATCCGCTCAAATCCCGCCGCGATTCAAGCCGCGGCCATGCAAATGAACCTACTCATGACGTCACAGCCTCCGATTTCCACCGAGCCGGGCCCGAGCGCTGACCGACAGCGGGCGATGTGGCTCAGATCTCCGACGATTTCCTTATTTAGAGCGTTCGGAAGACTTCGGGTAGCAAACAAAATGGCCGACATGTACATGATTTTACTTGTCAGCTTCGCTTCTCTACCGAAAATTATTATGAGGAAGTTACAACTCCTTTGCGGACTTTAGCGGCCATGAAGTTGACTTGGGGAAGCGCTGAGACGTGATTTCGCTACGGCATAGAGGATTTTGCCGCGGAGGGAGTTACGTGGCCGGCAAAAACTCGCGTGTCAGCGATCCTCCAGAAATCTTTATGCTGCCGCTCAAGTCTTCGCGCGAAGGAGGTCTGACGAAGTTTTAGATTAAATAAGGCCACATTGTGTGGATCAATCTCCGTTTTCTTGCGATAGTATGATTATTCAAGTACAGTATATTATTCAAAAACGTTTGATATTTCTTTGTTCGTTGTCACATGTTTATTTATCGTATTGTCATGTACAGTTAGCAGAGTGTGTCTGAGTCGAGCCATTGTTTTATTTTATTCTTATGTGGCCGTTAGCACATGTTGTTTTAACAGACAGCAACATTGAACAATAGAGCCAAGTCAACAGACGTCGGCACGGTCCTTGAAATCAGGTTTCCCGCCGCCGTGCGTTTGGAAAAGACGCCGCGCCGTGGCTCATTCAAATTCGCTAGATTTTTTCCATGTCTTTACCCACGATTTTTGACCGTCAATGTTGATGGTAAGGACTAAAATTTTTACCGTCAGACGGGACAAATTACCGTCAATTGACGGTAAAACGGGCGCTGGCTAAAGCCCTGGCTGCAGTGCAATGTGAACCAGTCGGAACTGCCCTGAGGAAGGTGACAGACGGTTACTGAAATGTTGGCTGTGAATTGGTTGTAAAAATAATCTCTTTACTCAGTGATGTAACAACCTGGTGAAACTATTCACAGATACTACTGACCTGTATGCAGGGTTCTGGACTGCATCCAGGTGGATTTTGAGTTTCCGTCGCGCCCCTTCTGTCAAGCCAAGGTTCGCAAGATCCTCGTCCGTCATACCCATGATCTGAGATTTTGTAAAAAAAAAGGGAACATCTTTCTGATTAAGTTTTTATGGTCATACAAAAACTGTCATGCCAAGATTTAAAGCTAACATTGGTAATATGGTACATAAATAAATGATGAGAATACATGTACCAGACTTCTCCAAAAAAATAATTAAGGAGTACCCTTGGACAGGTATAATCATAGTCATATTGAGATCACCCGAGCCAGTCAGTGTTACTAAATTTGCAAGATAAAAGTCCAGCCTCCATAGTTGTGGTACGATGGTACACAATAACTTGAAATGACTTGCAGCTAAATCGTACTTTACTTCAGTCGTCGAATTCTGCCACTGTACGATCTGTAATAATAAGTGTACCTAAACCCACATTTAGGTTCAGGTCCGGATTCAAGTCCAGAGGTTAAGGTTCAGTTCCAGACTCTTACATCTGGACCTAAACCCATGGCATATACAAAATTGCATGTTGGCAACCTTGCAATGTTGTCTGGGCAAAACTGTGGCCACATAACATGGAGGCCGACACTTGTTTTCTTCATTTTGCAGCATAGATTTTGCAATCTATGGAAGGTTTTAGGCGGTTTGGAAAGAAAAGGGGTATGTTTTTTTTATAAGAAGACTACAATTGGTTCTTGACTTTTAGTTTTTTTTAAATTAAACCTAAACATTTTTGCAAGTCCGGAACCGGTCCAGTGAACCGGTACACAGCACTACATGTATGTACATGTAGTAGTTGCTTGTACTGACCTGTTCCATGCGGAAGTCCTTGAGCTGGCCGTAGTACTTGTGTAGGCGGATCTCCTTCAGCAGAAGCTCCAGGTTCCTGGGAGAAGTCGGGGGTGGGGAGGGCAGGAACGTCTCGTGGGGGGAGGGGAGGGGCATGGGCAGGGCCGAGGTGCTAGGGGCGGGGGAGGAGGTTCTCAGGGATGCATAGGTGTGCCTTAAGAAGGAAAACAAAAGGGCACAACAGTGGTTAATATTCAAGACATCCTTGGGTGAGCTTAAGGCGATTTGTTTACACTTTTACATGTTGATATCAATTTCAAATGGAAGCGTAAGAAAAAGACAATATTAGTCTGCAAGAATGAGAAAAGCAAATGGTCTGCCCATGCTACAGCCAGGACAAAACAACATGACATGTGTAACAAGCACAAGGAAGGTCTGAGGCACTGTAAGTGAACTGTAGTAAGAATGGTAGAATGTACAATATCATGACTGTGTTACTGAAATGAAGATGTTAATTTTGGACGTGTATAACTGCAGCACATGGTAAGTCACAGCGGCTGATGCAGCAGAGATGTGTGTGTGCTTCTATGAAAATGGATAAAGGGGGTTAAGCAGATTATACAATCTTGTAACATGACCAAATATACTAGATGCTAGAATGGACATGTACATGTACAGTGTTGGTAGTTTGGCAATGGCGCATGCAGCAAAACATGCAGACAGTGTTGTACACAAGATAAGGCCATACAATTTTTTCTCTCTTTTTTAAGTAAACCATGAGCCATATTTTAAATTAGTAAACCTTGAAAAGGACCGTTCTTCAACAATTCTTCATTCAGCATTTGTTTTCATTTTCAAGTTTGAAAAACAGCGGAAACTTTAGGATTTTTATTATTCAATAGGTACATGTATGGCCTTTCCTGTGGTGAAAAAAAATATGAAGGTCAAAAAAGTAGCTGTTGAGAAACCAATATGAACTCAACATAGGATTTTGCTACCATTAGGAGTGTGCACTACATGGTGATATAGAAACTAACCAACTGAAATCTATCTAAAACTTACTTGTAAAACCTAGCTTGTCTGGGACACTGGTAGCTGCAAATTTCACACATCACAAAATATTCAAGTTTGACAAATGCAATAATTGTTTGGCTGACACATAATTTCATAAATCAAAATTTTTCATACAAGAAACTACAATGGATGGTGTACTTTTACAAGAAGTGTACTGACACAAGAAATGATGAAAGGAAGAGAAAAAAATCATTTTTGATATCGAGATGAAACATGCATCAACATGTTCTACAGAATGAAATATCACTGCCAATAAGTGGTCATAAACACACAGCTGAAGAGGAAAAGAAAATTTGTGTTAGCAGACAAGTGAAAATCATTTAGTTCTGAAATATTTTTCTCAACATTTTGCATAAAAGTTGCAGTCCTCAAGTTTGCATCAATGTTCAAATCCCAAATATGTATAAATTGGCCTTTCTGTGCTTTTTGAGACATGTGTCTTAAATTGAACCTAAAGTTGAATGAGAGAATTTTTGATGATATTGTCGAATTCATAATAAATTATAGATTATTTCAAATACACCTTTTTACAACCATGTAGGAAATCTCAGTCAATAAAATTAAAGATACCCAGTTAACACAACTGGTATTGGCGTCTATACATGTTGTCTTGGCCTGCTACAACTTTCATACATGTGTGTCACATACAACGTACATGTACACAATGCAAGAATGGTCAGAGTGGTAGACGCTTAGCATTGGAAAGCAAACTTTTGTTCCAACAGTACAAGAACAACATTTTGAAGTTTTCTGCAGCTGTCTCTTGTCTTCCTGTCGGAGTATTTGCTTTTCAGCCATTTTCCTAATGAGGGCTGGACAGACAGTTCAAGTTTTGGGAAAGTACAATTTCCTAAACAAAGTACAATTTTGCAGCTCTACTTTCAAATGACTTACCAACCCAAATGAACTTATTCACGAAATTTTTTCCACAGTTGGAATAAAGGACTACCTTCCTGTTAAGTCACTAAAAGGTACAGAATGCTGAGGTTTTGTGCTAGTGAGATGATGCTTGTGGTGTTACCTACCTGACATGTGTAGGCATGGTTGTCCCGTGGACCATGGGGATCTGCAAAGGCATCCCCGCCTTGTGGTCGTTCACTGGGGAGGGCATCTCAGGGGCTGGGAAGATGAGGGTACAGTCAGTCATCATCACAGAAGTGTAGGAACAGGCTCATAGAAGAACTTTATTGACACAACATAAGTACAGCGACTTTCGTAAAACTACATGTAGACATACCGACAAATACATAGGTACAACGAAATTAACCTACGTACAAAACAATAGATGAGTCAACTAATACTTGTTCTAAGGTCTAAACATTCTTTGATATATTTACCTATTTGTACACAGTAAGGGTTATTACCTTCTAGGATGAAATTATATTTATCTATAGCATGAAATGTAACAAATTCTCTTGAGCATGCGGAGAGAAGGTTGAACCACTTTGAGAGTTCATCGTTATAGAGTGGACAATCCAAAATAAAATGTTGTTCGTCTTCAATCTCATATGGCACTCTATTAGCTAAATGCCATGACCTTCTATTTAAAACCACTGTGTCCATAAGCAATGGTATATCTTCCCTTGCTCTTTTTGCTTTACTAAGTAGTAATACAGCCATGTTGACAGATACATGTAAGTCAACAAACTTTCATGTGTCACTGCGCTGTAACTTTGTAAGACTGTATTAATAGTGCAGTATGATACTATGCATCATAATCATCAACCTTTTACTGTTATTTATTATACACTCTCTGAATCAAGTTTGGACCAATACCTGACACATACCTTGTTTTATACTAAAACTTAGATGTACAATGGCAAGGTGGTACATGTATTCCAGCAATATGTGAAAGCTGTACTGGTTTTTAGTCTAACAGAATAATGTGGTAAGTCCTGTACATCTAACTTCTCAGGATGTTGTATACACATTCTGACCTGCATGTAAATTGTAAGTTTAGCCTTCTGTACCTAGTATCCAAACCTTGGATGGACACCTTCTAACTACAATGTAAATCCCATGTTTGAAAAGGTTCTGGTCAGTTGTTTTCCAAGAGCACACAGACAAGCCTAACACCCACCACCACCAGTCACCTACATTGTAAGACAGCCTGTGTGTTTACTGTCCAGTAATTTGTACCTAATCTTTTCATTAGACTACCATGAAGTCCTGGCTACCTTAAAACAACAAACACGGGATCTCCCCACAGATTCTCAGCCTGACAGGCTTTTCCTTCCTTGAGCCACTTGAGACTATCCTTGAAAGTAAGAGTAAACACTCCAAGGAAAGGTGTACATTAGGCTTGAGCCGTGAGGAGTTTAACTTCAACAGTGTACAAGATGAGATGTTCTTAAAATCACAACAGCTTACGGCTCATCCTTCTGTGAGCAGTTGAAAAGACTTCTTGAGAGTAGAAGTAAACACCTTGAGACACAATGTACACCAGACTTACGTAACAAGGGGTTCTCATGTCTGCAAACAGCATGAGATGGTTCCATGCCTATCTAAAGGCCGTTGGAGGTCGCTGTATAGGTTTAACACAGTTTTAGCTAAGCCATCACATTTGTACAAGGTTTTAAAGCTAGCTGGGGAATCTTCTAACCTCTTGAGTATACATTGTATATAGTTGGGTCTGAGAATGCATAATCTTCTTTATGCTATAGGAAGTCTTAAAGAGCCTTTGCTACTGCACTACTGACACATTTGATGCCAGACGCAGAAAATTATGCTACTCCTTTATTGATAGGCATAATACAACATCTTCTGAGGTCAGATTGTCAGTACAGAAATTCTTTTTTTAAAAATGTATATAAGATGCTGTATGTACATGTATAGTTTGTGTTTCTATGTTTGTACCATTGTTTTCTATGGGTGAAATACCTGAAATAAAGACATTCATTCACTGCCAGATTGGTTTGGCAGCATGTTCATGTACATGGTGAAGTTGTTTACGAGTCCATCCCTGTCAACACCGGAAATAGAGCTGTGTGTTCTGTCCCAGGCTCTAGGCCTGTTTTACAGTGTGTCAACTTTGATTCCCACATTAGTGTTCCCCTGCTATCGCTGGTGTGATCCTCGGGGCTAACTCCTGTTTTGAACACACCAAACCTGTCGTTATGCCGTAAATAACCTTGGACTTGAAACCCTGAGGGTCGACTAATAAACAAAAATGGACCGACATGACCCTTGATAGATACTTTAGTATACAATGTCCTGTTCCTACACCTGTTCACTTTTGTTTCTGTCATATTGCATCTCTCACAATGTTTTGCAAGTTACAACTGACTCAACAGGCTGTTTTTAGGTTTTGATAGATGTGTGTGTAAGGGAAGCGTTATCAAAGGTATAGCACAGACAGATTTCAGTCTGCGAGCCTACATGAACCAACAACAAGGAAAAAAAAACACAGGCTTGACGAAAGCGGCAATGTGACAAGGCGACATGGCAACTTTGACAAATCGCTACATTCCTGATTAGACTGAACTGTTGTGCCTTCTGCCAAAACAGCTTAACGTGTGAAATTCAATCTTCTGTAAGCATAACACATCAGAAACTGGAGAAGGACACAAACTACAGGGTGCGAGGGCAAATGTTATAGGAGGAAAATACTAGTAATGTACTTACAAAACATTTCCCAAAACTGCATTTACAAGAATTGAAAAGGTCAGATTTAATATTCACCATGCTGTTTTTAAGACACAAAAGTCCATGAGTACACAATGTGAAAATTTAGTTTTGAGTAATTGTGAGCTACATGTACAGTATGTTTGAATGGTGTTCAGTGTAACACCCTTCTTTTATTCCAGCACTATGTCTAGGGATGTCTAGACAGCTATTTGGGTGGGGGAACTCGGGGCGACAAGCCCAAATAACCTTTCAACAGCCTGGGTCAAAGCCGTGCCCGGCCCCAGCCACTGTCAAGGGCAGAGGCATTACAGCCTGCTATGTAAACATGACTGGACCAGATATCAGCCCTGTTTCTCATCCAATATGGCCTGACATGGATATTACTGAGGGGAGGCTGGGGAAGGGAGTTATGAAGACGTTGAATGTGAATGAATGGTGCATTAATATTAAAGATACAAGTTGTTGAAATGGACTCCTTATGCACAATAAATGTGCTTTATTTATATTAGGGCATTTTGGAGCTTGGTCAAGAATTTTTTTACGAATATGTATGTGACACTGTTATTTTTGTGATAGTTATAGATATTGAAATATTTAAAGGGGACTGGGCAAATTCAATTGTGTTCAATTTCTAAAGCTGCAAGCATTGTGCAAATGTGTATGTCTTCTGGCATCCTACATTTTGTACATTATGCTGTGAGAGAGTGTCATACAGATTCATAGTTTTGATGCACAGATCTTCATGGGTATTGTTTTTCAGTGGATCATGTACATCTGTTTAAAGTGCATGTACATCTGTTTAAACCCAGGTTAGCATGAACTGTTTGCCACCCCCCACCCACACCCCACCCAGTGCACCCCCATAATAGCCTCAGGAATGGAGGTAAACACGCCTGCCCTGGCCAGGGTCAGAGCTGTTATTGTTGATGCTGCTTGTAGGTCCAGACCACAGATAAGTGCAGACTGACAGGCCTGTTCCCATATACCTGTATACTCCTCTACTCTCCTATCAGGAACAGCTGGGTCCCAGAGACACAACCGCTCCTGGCCCAAACAAAAGAATGCACCATTTGTAAAGGGGTATGGAACATCGCTGCTGTTAATCAAACCTCTGACACACTTTTTTGGCCTGCCTTCAAAGCCGAGAGTCTCGCACACACAAGAGTTCGGTATAATATTTTATCAAGGGGTTGATAAAATTCTTCAGGACTCTCAATACTGGCCTACCAAGAAAGCAGGCATATCTGGGGCTTAAAACTGATGTTGTTTGGACAGAAGAATGTGGAACATTTGGGCCACTGGGGCAAATGCCAGAGACATACAGCCAATGGACCTGGCCTGTGAAGTTCCCTATATATAGGCTCGAACCAACCCACCATGCAAATAAACAATACAAGGTGGTATGACTTAAACACAAGAAACTGATCTACATAAACTTGTATACCATGAAAATCACCTCTCAATTGTTCTTTATTAATTTTTCCATAATTCAAGTGTGCTACAAATGGTTTACAGTAAAAGGGTTTTGGTATCTATGTAGGTAAAGAGTTTTAAAACTCATTCATATGTGCAATCTGAAAGTTGACTCATCTAGAAATCATCTACACATCTCATTTCTACACGTAGAAATCTACATTATGCTGAGAAACAAACCCACAAAGCAAATGACTTGTTGGTGGGGGTATAAGAGTCAACCCAGTGCTATGGTTTGAACTGGAAGTGAGCCAGTGATATACAAAGATCATGTAACACATGTGGTACCAGCAGACTGCAATGCCACAGTGCAGGTTCTACTGCTGACTACTGCTTCAACACCAAAGACACAGATACTGATTTTGTTGAGTTGACAGTAAGGCCACATTATGGATGAAATCAGCGCACGCATTGATTTTTGCCTGATTTTGGAAAAAAAACAAGAAATTTTGTTGCCCTCTGACAGTGGTAAACATGCCGAAAATGGGCAAAGATGTCTGTTGCCATGCTGGCAGATAAATATGAAGAGAGGGGACAAGAAAAGGCCCTGACTTAATATTTTGTTTTTTACTTTGATGCAGTGGTATGTGATAGTGGCTGTGTCTATGTGATGTACCCGCTGAATCAAAACCATTTGTACAATGATTGAGTCAAAATTTTAAAATGTAGGAACCTTGTTTTTTTCGGCCCACCTTGTTTTTTTCGCCCTATCGCATTAGATTTGAAGTCTGCGGAGGATGTCATCCATAAAAATGACTTGCTATGGCCTAAGGTGTTGTCTGCGTGCTGCGGTGCTTACCGGGGTGGGGGGAGCCTGCAGTGCTGCCTGCAGCATCGTGGCAGGTAGTGGGGATGGAGGTGGGACAGTGGTGCTGGTGTGAGCCGCCGCCCAGGCCGGGCTCACTGGCAGACCAAGGTCTTCTACACTCATCTACACCATCTACACAAACAGTACAATGTTCAACAAGGTGGTCTTGTTCAGTGATATGCAGTGTTCTAGCCAGGATTTTTTCATAGCATAGGGGTCAGGTACAGAGCAAATTTCATGGTGCAAATCGCAAATTGAGCCAAAATATTTTGAAACTCATGACCTCCTGAGACTATTTTTTGTTTAATAACAAGGAACAGATTTTGTGAAGTTAAGGTTTTCCTTTGCTATAGCTTCATTCTAAAGTTATATTTTCATTTTTTTGCAAGATTTATGAAGGTTCTCCATCCCAAAACACCCCTATGCTGGTTGAAAGACAGCATAGGGGTCAAAAGTATACATTTTTGTAGCATAGGGGGTCAAAATCATAGCATAGGAGGCCCCTGTGCTCAAAAGGCCTGGCTAGAACACTGATATGTGCAGTTCATGTGTAAAAGCTGTGAAGGCATTTAGGCTGAGCACTTACTCCATATTCAGTTATATTAAAAGCCTTCTTCAGAATGAATGACCCATCATATGTGGCTCAAATCACATGACTTAACAAGACTGAGGAGTACCTTTGGCCAACATGCTATGATGGCCCATTCTTGCTGAGCAAAGCCAAAAATTTTCTTCACTTGGATCAACACCTTAAACTCTACTCATGCTGCTAGTTAATACACTAGGTGAGTTTGCATACTGACCCTTACCTTGCACATTGTTAGGTGTCTGACCGGCTGGGGCCGGGCTGGATGGGTAGGGGTGGTGATACTGCTGGTGGCCGAAGAAGCTGGTCACGTGATCCGACTCCAGGATATGTCTGGGCAGCGACACCAGTTGTCTGCGATCAAACAGAGAATTGGCATTTGTGAAAAGTTAGATGATTAGTGCTGTGTACCTAAACCCACATTTAGGTTCAGGTCTGGATTCAAGTCCAGAGGTTTAGGCTCAGTTCCGGACTCGTAAGTCCGGACCTAAACCCATGGCATATACAAAATTGCATGTTGGCAACCTTGCAATGTTGTATGGGCAAAACTGTGGCCACATACATGTAACATCGAGGCCGACACTTGACGATGCCAGATGGCAATATTTTCTTCATTTTGCAGGACAGATTTTGTAATCTATGGAAGGTCTTAGGTGGTTTGGAAAGAAACAGGGTATGTGACATTTTTTTTTTTTGTAATAAGTGGAATCGGTTCTTGATTTTTAGGGTTTATTTTACTTGAATCTAAACATCTTAGCAAGTCCGGAACCGGTCCAGCGAACCGGTACACAGCACTAGATGAGTACAAAGATGAGAGTACACTATACTAAAAGGATTTCTCTACACAATTCACAAACCGCAGAAAACTGAACAGTACAATGTAAGTTTCTGAAACCACATCAAAAGAAAAAGAGGCCTCTCTATTGGTCTACATTTGTATGTTGCCACAGCTGCCAATGCCTAGTATTGGTACTAAATGCGTGCATAGGTCCAATTCACCACCTCATTATCACATTATCCCTTCCATATTGACTGTTCAGGACTTCTTTGGAAAACCACGGATCCGAGACTACTAAATGATTTAAATCAGCATCATGCCGCATTTACATTGTGATGTTGAAAATTGATCTCAGCAAGACTGCAAGCTACTTTCCCAGGCCTCGAAATTAACTTTTCTTCCTATTGTCCCAGCACTATCCCAAAAATAACTTTCAATTGTCCCAAAGTGAGGATGAACTGTCCCAACCTGTTTTTTGGCAAGTATTGTATGACTTCAACTTGAAGTCAATTTTGCTTATGTTCACATAATAATTGCAGGCACACTATAATTGCAGAGTAGACAGGAAATTCAGGGGGACTTTTCTGGATCCAAAAGCCGGGACGTGTGCCTGATAGACAAAAGAAGGGCTGACATTCTGATGATGACCATTTTTCTGTTGTCCCAAAAATGTCCCAAAGTGTCATGATAGTCCCAAAGTGTCTTTTTACTTACTAGTTGTCCCAGCCTAAATATTAGTGGTCAGTGGCCATTGGACCACCTTTAATTTCGAGCCCTGCTTTCCATTTTCAAACTCTCTCATTCAACAATGTGTCTGCTGGAATTCTAGCCATGTTTCTTTTCTGCCCAATTGGCTTGCAGACTCCGTGGGTAAGAGTAACTTGTGGGGCCGAAAGTCTTGGCGTCGATACCTCATCTTGGAGGAATGCTGGACTCAGACTTATTCTGAGCCTTTGCAACCAAACAGCAAACGCTGCGTCACTAGCAGACAGACATGGCCCTTCCTGTACCTTACAGTTAATACCAGGTTTAGGCCACACCAATTTAATTTGTTGTTTTTCAGATTCACCTTGTCCATTTTTTTTCTGATTTGCAAAAAAAAAAAAAAATTTTTTTTTGTTCTAAATTTTGGACCTGACAGTTGAAGAAAGTCCTTTTCTCCCTAGTTGTTAAGTTTTTCAATATAACAATGCAATTTTGTTTCGTTTAAAGTTCAAAATCTATTGTTTTAAATATAAACCAGCCTGGTATGTTCACTTCATGGCTAATATGGCTAACATTTCTGGCTATCATGGGGTGCCTGTTTTTTCTTTTATTTTGCCCTGTCGCTTCATATTTTTTCTGAAAAAATCCAAAAACAACAAATTAAATTGGTGTGGCCTTGAGATACCGTGGTACTAGGGATGAAAAAGGGATGGTTGTTGGTAAAGCCTTTGAAACATGCCTAACAGTCATCGTAAAAAAGCAGCTAACACAAACAAAGGTCACCTGAGGAAAGTGGTGTCATGGGAGTTGAAGTCAGATTGTTTAAGGCAAGAGCCTTCTATCAAAACTAGATACAAAAACTACAATACTTGCCATACGTGTCTATGTTCATTTTCTGCAGTTTAGGCCATGTTGATTTGATTTTATGGATGACATCCACGCGTGCATGACTTTTCGGTCATTTCCAAAAAAAAAAGTTTTCAAGCATACTGTAAATCGTACAAAACAGTTGCAAAATGAGCAAACATATACCGTAAGTTGCAAAACGAAATGTTGGAAAACAATACCAATGTCGTAGAATGCCAAAATCAAAGGAAAAGAACGAAAATGTAAAGAAATGAACTTGAAGAGTTACTGTAGATTATTTGCCATACCATACTCTGTATCAATTGTTCCACCTTCCACTAGATTTCATAATGAAAGCATTTTTTTTTTGCCAAACTTTTTTATTCGCACGCTCGCATCAGTTTTGGGATTCCCAGAGGATGTCATCCATAATATTTTAATCAAATCAACATGGCCTAAGTAAAGAACAACAGAAACCTTTACAATTTCATTACATTTTCTTGTCTATTATTAACACCACAAAGGGCCAAAACTGCTGCTTCATACTTCATACATTTACATGACACACATACATTTTACATGTACAGACTTGACAAAACAACAATTACACAAATAGAAAAACACCACACACAAACCTGACATAGTTTTCCATGTCAATATCTCGCTTGCCAGTCTCCCCAGCTTTACCTACAGATAGAACAACAGTAGCTGAAGTTTTACATGGTTATTTTTATGCATACATCAAAACAACACATTGACCTTAAGCCTACCAAAGGGGACTTACAACATAATACCCTTTCTTCACCCTTTCTTCTTACATACTCCCAACTCTCAGGAGAAAGTTCCATGCTGAAAACTTCTTCCCTAGAACTACATCACTTGGGAACAAGCTTCCCTGTGAATGCTTTCCAAATGGATACAAGTTACTACAACCTTAAACTTTTCAAGTCTAAGGTAAACAACATGTGTCTTTTCAGTCCCTTATTGTAACCCAATGCATGAGAGTGGTTTTAGCCTTTTTTTTTAGGTGAAAATTGTAGTTGATAAAAAAGTAATTTGAAAGCAAAGACTAGAAAAGTAACATCTGCAAAGCAAATGCATAATGTTTACCTTCGCATATGGTCTGCTCTGTTAATTCTTACTCAAACACATTCACATATTAGGTGACAGCAGTCTAAATCCCTTTGAAATGAAATTGCAACATTATGTAACCCAACACCAGTTACATGTACCATGGTGACAGACGTCAACAAATCAGGTCATTGATCAGGTCAGAGGTCAGTGTTTGGAATGGAAGAAGAAGAGGAAACTGAGCAAAAACAATATGTTTTCCTTCGGTAAACATACATGTAACTAAAAGAGAAGACCATACCTGGCAGGTGGGGGATGATCCCCTTGCTCCTGTTTGCACCAGTCTCATCAGGAAACAGATTCTGCAGCTGGAGGAGAGGGAAGAAGATGGAGCAGAGTTACGCAGGCACAGAAATGTCCAGTGAATAGTTTCATCAGGTCGAGGTACAAAATGTAAGTCACTGAATAAAAAGACTCTTTTTACACAGCCAGTGAACCAGTCAGAATTGCCCTGAGGAAGGTGACAGGTGGTCACTGAAACGTTGGATGAATAAAAGACTTGGTTGTGTAAAAAGAGTCTCTTTACTCAGGCACAGAAATGGAATCGTGTCCCTGGAAATAACTTCATCAGGTTGGTACTGTAAGTCAATATTATATACATTGTAGTTTTCTTGACCATATATTTTACTGTGTCGATGTTTGTGATCTTCATCAGTGCAAACTTTGTTTAAAGTATGATGTCATGAATGGTCATGCCAAATGATGCATCCCTGTACGTGACTTCCAATACCTCTTGCTGCTTTGTAATGAAGCAGAAAGAATGCAGTCCCAAACGTGACTGAGTCTATATATTTTGTACCTCCCTTGTCTCTCTTCATCACTTGTGTGGATTTTCTGGCCCATATTACTTGCTTTCCGCTGAGTTACAAAGCGGAATGAGGTATTCAAAGTCATGTTCAGGAAGGCATCATTTGGCACGAGTCGCATGACAAGTCATGACGTCACACTCTGAAGTTCAGTTTATCCTGGAGACGTTGTTGAGACATTGACACTATATCGAGAAACAAAGAAAACTGGAGAATGCAAAGCAAATGCATAATGTTTACCTAAAGACATGGTCTACTCTGTTAATTCTTACTCAAACACATTCAAATACATTGTAATACTAGTATATGGTGACAGGAGCAGAGCAGACTATGAAACTGCAACATTATGTAACCCAACACCAGTCACCATGGTGACAGACGTCAACAAATCATGACATTGGTCAGGTCATAGGTCACTGTTTGGAGAAGAAGAAGAGGAAGAAACAGAGCAAAAAGAATATGTTTTCCTTCGGTAAACATAATGGGGCAATGTAGCTTATAGAAACATATATCTCCTCTGTGATTAGAAAGACAGATGTTATGTGTATAGCCTTGAGAGAACAAAATCAGGAAGTCAAAAGAACCCTTGGCCTGAGCCTGAGAAGTATCCTATGTTATACACCTCACAGCAGGAGCTAACCCCTTCCCACCCTGCAACAGTCACTGCCCTTAGCCTCCATAGCATGCCAAAAACTGGGGGTTTGGGGGGTCTTCAGGGTCTTTGGGAGCTTTTATGTGCTATTTTCTGATTGCATATAGACAACATAGCCGGCCTGATTGAATTACCCCGTTTTCTGATCAGAAGACAGCCGAAAAGACCACCAAACCCCCAGTTCTATAAGCCTGCTACGGAGGCTACACTGCCCTCTGCTGACATCCCTCTACAGGGAGTGAGTAGCTGTGCAGTTTTGTGGGGGCTACCTGGGGACATGTACTATGCAGAATGCACCCAGGATTAACCTTCGCATAAATTCAGCAATCTTGGACCTGAACTCTTAAGCTTGCCTCCTTCCTTTACAGCAGGCTACACTTGGCAGTCTTACAGTTCAGTTCAGGGAGTCAAATCCCACACAGTTCAGGGATTCATCTCAATTACAGTTCAGAGATTCAACCCCCTTACACAGCTCAGAGATTCAACCCCCTTGTAGTTCAGAGATTCAACCCCCTTACACAGCTCAGAGATTCAACCCTTTTGTAGTTCAGAGATTCAACCCCCTTTCAGTTCAGAGATTCAACCCCCTTACAGTTCAGAGATCCAACCCCCCTTTTAGTTCAGAGATCCAACCCCCTTACAGTTCAGAGATTCAACCTCCTTATATGTTATAGTTCAGAGATCCAACCCCCTTACAGTTCAGAGATCCAACCCCCCTGTAGTTCAGAGATTCAACCCCCTTACAGTTCAGAGATCCAACCCCCCTGTAGTTCAGAGATTCAACCCCCTTACAGTTTAGTGGCTCAACCCCCCTACACTAGTTACAGTTCAGAGGTACAACCAGCTTTCAGTTTATGGATTCAACCCCCTTACAGTTCAGAGATTCAACCCCCTTACAGTTTAGATCTTCAACCCCCTTACAGTTCAGAGATTCGACCCCCTTACAGTTTAGATCTTCAACCCCCTTACAGTTCAGAGATGCCATTCCTTAGGAAAATACTGACTATTTCATGCATGTTTCTACAAATGCTGCTGGTAAGATACGTTAAAGGGAAAATCTATTATCTTGTTGACATCATGCAAAGAAGTTACAATGTTCCTGTCTGAACTGTAACCCTACAACTGCATCGGAATGGTGGCGGATGGAGACAAACAGGGACAAAGATGTCCAAGTACAGGTTTGAACCAGATGTGCTAGGTGAGGAGGAAAAACCTTTCAGGATCAAGTCTACTAAATCAATGGAAAACAGAAGATTGGGGGCATAATCTGAACCCCTCCCCTGGCCGAGGTAAGTCAAGTACACGCCAGTTAAACCCACATTGATTGGTTGGCAGGGGAAACTGAACCACCAGTGCTGTGTTGAAGGCCGATTAGGCTAGGGTTTCCCGGGATTTTCCTGCCAACAGTGACTGGCTGTGCAACTGGACGAAAAATTGGAAACAGCCTTTAATCAACCCTGTGCTGGCATCAGCACCGATATGGAAAAGCTATCTCCACACATTTAAGCCTACTGCTGAAAAGCCAAGCGTTCATTGGTATGACAAGAAGGACAGATGTGTACTATCAGGGCTAGAAATACTTTTTTGTATGCATACTTGCACAAGTGCAGGTGACATTCAATTTTCAAAATTAACTGGCACCACATTCTGTGTAATACTAATAGTACCTGTACCACATGGTACAAACCTTCCAACAAAGAGCAGTACTAGTAGTTTTATGTCAGAAATACCAATCAATGAAGACAACAGAAGAAACTTGTGAAGATTTTGTACTTTTCTTGTTGGCTGATCTCATGGAATGGAGTCTGGTTCATTGAAGAGGGCCTGCATGGGGGGGTCCCGACAACGTTCTACGCTAAATTTTGAGAGCTGTCTACGTATTACGCTGAATTCAAGAAGCCTGCCCATTGCATTTTCCGATAAATTCCGGGTAACTACAACGCATTACGTAGAATTAAAACTGCGAATTACGCTCTGTGCAAAATGCACCAATTACGCTCTAAGTTGAATTACAGCGGTCTGTCTACACTCTACGTAGAATTAAAATGGCCAATTACGATTTACAGAAAAGGGCATGAATGTGCCCAGTGCCTTCTTGCTGTCCTCCCAACAAAGTCCAGACCTTCCCACCCTACCCTTTGACCAAATCATTTTGTGCAAGTCAGAGGATCAATATCTCTTTACTTTATTGATTTTGCTGTACTTGGGCTGAAATTGAAAACAGGTCAAGAATAGCCCCAATCTTCAGTTTGGTTACTGGTGCTGCACTCAAGGCTGGAGCAGATTGAAGATTGTACAGGGTGATTGTACAGGGTGATGCATTTCACAACTATCAAACTCGCAAACGTTCCGATTTTCATATCCCCCTAGTAAAAACTTCTCTTGCCCAAATGTCGGTTAGATACAAAGGTGTCACCTTATGGAATAAACTAACTCCAGCCCTAAAGAATCCTACCTTGTCTCTTCTCTCACTTAAACAAGCTTTGAAAAACCATCTGATTAACGAACCTAGCCCCCTGTAGTAGTTTTATTTAGTGTTTTCTCCTATTATAACTCATACCAATTATTATCATTACCTTATTTTCATTGTTATTAACTTATACCATACATTATTTCATTATCCTTATTGTATTATTTCCATTTTCTATTGTATTATTTCCATTTATTAATTATATTTAATTTTGTATAGTTTAGAGGAGGAGGGCCTAGTATAAGCACGCCATGCTTCTCCCCTCCTCCTGCACCTGTTTTATCATTGTTTTTATATCATTATTGTCCGTCTTGTTAATGTGCAAACAATAAAATCAAAATCAAATCAAAATGCATAAAAAGGTTCTTTCTTTTTTCACATCTGATGTTTTGGGTGACTGTCTGTCACCTTCTTCAGGACAACAATACAAATCAGTCATTGTCACCGAATGTCGAAACACTCAGTCTGGTTGTTGAATAAAGAATCTTCTTATACAGTATCTTGCCACCCTGGTAAAATTTTCATTGACATATGGGGTGATATACAGTAAGTGGCTGATGCGATGTACATTTTTGGAAAAGAAAATATAATAATCGTAACACCTTCTTACACTTAACTGACAGATGCAATGTATGTATAACATTACCCTTTTTTTGCAAGATGTTAAATGGTGTTACACTTGCATAATGTTTTGCTACTTTTGCAATCTTGCCTCCCAGATTCAGTAACTTGCTATGTTCCACTGTGGTGAAATATACTCCCGTCGACTGTCAAATTTGCTGTGTTGAATCATCACATGAATATACAAGTCCATGTACACTGTGCAGTAGGTTATCTCATTACACGTTCTACAGATTAATGTGAAGGCTTGGGTGCAACAGAGGGGGCATGGTGTAAGTATGCCATCCATCACATGGCACAGCGAATAAATGTCGGAGCAAGTGTTGAATAGCAAGTCTCCTATCATGAGGCTAAATTTCCCATTCCGTTTTATAGTTTACAACCATCCCAAAGGCTGTCTCGTAAACAGTGTGCTGTACACTGTATTTAGCTGCGTGCATTCTGACCTATGACTTTTCATTCAAGGTCCAGAACAAATTGTTTCATCCCAGCAGGTTAACATGGACACCAGTGAGGATTTTCCACAGGTTAGTACTAGGACACAGCAATTCAATCAATTGGTTCTTGAAATCGTCCTCTCATATCCCCCCACCCAAATTAATGACAGTACATGTACTAGGATGAGGTGTTGTCTGCAAATGCAGTGCAATTTTCTTTTTTTTTCTGCCCTAAAGCCACACTGATTTAATTCTATGGATGACATCCACGTGCACATTCATTTTCGCCTGTTCTCAAAAAATAAAAAATAAAAAATCACCTCCTCCAAGGCTCTGGCCTGGATGCCATCCTTTGTAGTCAATGGTAGATAGACAGCCACAATAGGGAGCCCGTGGTAACTACAGAGGACAACACCCAGGCTGCCGAAACTCCACGAACCTCAAGAAATCAGTACAGTGCCGACTCATAGATGCCGCAATAGGCCAGCCTGTGCCAGCTTGTCGTAAAAGTCGCTATGTACTACCACAAATACACAATATCAGCCTTGTATTCCTTTCATTTAGCAGCATTTTTTTTTGGCGCGTAATTTTTTTTATTCGCCCGTGCGCACTAGTTTGGGGGTCTTCAGATGTCATCCATAAAATTAAGTCAGTGTGGCCTAAAGCTTAATACTTTTTTTAAGAACTGAAAAATTGAATTTGTATAGCCTTACTGCAGTAAAATAAGGACAGACTGGAAGATGTGAGGGAAAAAGAAATGAAGATGACAGGGTGTTAGGGATGGGGTTGGGTGTACTGTAATTTGTCTTTCCCCTGCTGCCTAACTCCATAACCAGGCTTGAAATACTTTTTAAAAGTTTCTTCTGGATACCTGCACTGGAAGATTTTAAAACAAACTGCCCCGCAGTTCCAGAACAAGCTGCTAGGTAACCCAAACTAATGCCACTTCTTCCCTAGCCCAAGAGCTATCTACCATCCAAAATTTGTGATCCTAGCATGTCTAGATCACGAGATATCAAAACTGGAAGTTCTGCTGGTGTACCTAGGAAAGCCGCCAGGGGGGCCCAAATCTAATCATTTCTAGGTCTCAAGAAGACCTACCCACCTACTAAGTTTCTTGACAATCCATCAAAAGCTTCTTGACTTACCATGCTAAACCCCATGAACACAGACAAACGCTACTGAAAACATAACCTAAAGCTTCTTGGCGAAGGTAATAACCTACACCAGACAAATTTTACATGTACTTGCACTGTCTGTACCAACTACTAAATGTAGATTTGATGGGGTACACACGGAACTAGAAAATGTGACAGTTAAGAAACCATTTTATTTTGTAGCTGTAACAAACAGTACAGGCTACAATAATCCACACTTATATTATATGTTATATACCAAATATATATATATATGGCATGGATTTGGTGCAGGTACAATGTAGACATCGGTACAAAAAAAAATTGAAGTGAGTTGCTTAGCAGTAACCTTACTCAGGGACTTCCTCAATGTAAAAGTATTTCCATTATCTCTGAGTCTTAAAAACATTTAGAATCCTTCGAAAGATGGCCTCTCCAAGGCCAAACCCGTCTAGAAATAGAAGACAACCAAAAAACGTCTTGTTGAACTCTTGTTACAACCCAGGCCCACTGTGAAGGTTAACAACTTTGATATTTACTGTGATCTTATAGTGTTTTGTCACAATGTATAATATTTGATCATCAGAAGTGCATCAATATTACTTTAATTTGATTGAATAGTAAGACTTAATTTTTTGTGTGCACTGGACTCGAAAATCTGTGTAAAGTCTTTCAAGTTAAGGTTGTTGATGTAAGCTCTTCCGTTTCTGACTTACAAAGCTGTTTGATCTTCTGTGCTGAAATTATGCCTTTCTTTGCACAGCTCAACAGCACTACAAAGAAGCTGGCATCTTTTACACTCGGACTTGAGCAGAAGCCAAACAGACAAGAGGCCAGGTTTCCAGTGACATTTCTTGGCACACAACAAGGAAATGTCAGCTGTAAGCACCTTCAGCAGGGCTCAATTACCGCTGCTGGTGACAAAATTAAGACCCACAAACCACCATACTGAATAAACAGAACCGTACATAAAGTTTAAACGTAAGTACAGAGGATTGGTTGGTTGCTACCTGGGTAGACACAAGGAAGCCAGCCATAAGTTCCAAAACACAGATTCGAGCTACTCTAACAGAACTTTGAACAACATTTCTACATATTTCAAAATTTTATATTTCTAAGAAATTTATTTTTACATCGAGTGCAGTTTTGACTGGAAATTTTGTGTGTTGAACATTGTGTAGACAATTGTGTAAGGCCAAAGCAAGTAATTCTTATGGATGACATCAGCACGGGCATTAATTTTCGCCTGATTTTGGTCAACATGCCGAAAATGGGCAAATATGTCTGTTGCCATGCCGGAGGGTGGATGACTGATAACTATGATGAAGAGAGGAGACAAGAAAAGGCTCTGATTTCATGTTTTGTTTCTTACTTTGATGCAGGGATATGTGATGCTGGCTATGTTTATGTGATGTTCCAACTGAATCAAAACCATTATTTGTAAAATGATTGAGTCAAAATTTTAGAATGAAGGAACATTGTTTTTTTGGGCCCGCCTTCTTTTTTTTCGCCCGCTCGCATTAGATTTGGAGTCTGCGGAGGATGTAAAATTTACTTGCTGTGGCCTAAATGATTACACATAAAGGAAGAACTTCCTGCAAAATGACCTTGACGAAACTTGAGTATAGTAAAAAGGATCAGTTTTTTTACCTTTTTCCTGGTGGGAAATTGAAAGCAAAAAGCTTTGAATTCAGTCCAACGTTTCAAATGAACTGATCTCAGTGTTAACCTGCTTGAGTATAGTAAAAAGGATCACTTTTTTACCTCTTTCCTGGTAGGAAATTGAAAGCAAAAGGCTTTGAATTTAGTCCAACACTTCAAATGAACTGATCCCAGTGTCAGGCTGATAATATTTAACTTTTGTCAGAGATCACAGAAATGGTGAGATCTTGCAGGAACAGATAGCCAGACATGTGGTTGTGCTAGGGGCAGGCAGATGTTTATTTTGAGGAGGTTTTGTGGTTCATTACGCAGGATCTGTGATGCTCCCCACCACGCAGAAATACTTAGGATAGCCAGAGGATAACCCCCAATGTGTTCAAAACATTGTTGGGGCTTCTCGTAATGAAATAGAGTGACACAAAGATCCAGCAATTCTATGGGGGCCTGCATGCCCTTTTTCGTAAGGTGTGATCAGGCCTTTTTTAGTCTTCATAATCCATAGGCAGTTTCCCCAATATAATAGTACATTAGCCGCAAAGCGTTAAGTCGTAATCAGCTCTGAGAGTTTAACTTAATTCGTAATCGGTGGCGAAAATTTTGCGTAATTCGTAATCACTATCCCCCCCATGCAGACCCTCTTCTATGAAGCATCCTCACAGTGCTTCTACGTACATACACTGCTATGGGACAGTATGTTGCTGGAACTATGAAACAACTTTGAACTGCAATATCCAACACATTCAACATATCAAAGACATTGCTGGAAAAAACTTTCAGGGTAAGACTAAGAGTACTTGTAAGAGTTTACTTTTTCTTTAGCTTTTCTTTCTTGCAATACATACATGTATTTTAATTTCTTCTTTCCTACCCTTTTTTTGCCTTCCTCCATATTTGCCTGCCATTTATGGGGTCCTGCATGCCCTTTACTGTAGAGTGTAATCGGCTATTTTAATTCTACGTAGAGCGTAGACGGACCGCTCTAATTCAACGTAGAGCTTAATTGGCGCATTTTGCATAGAGCGTATTCGCCATTTTAATTCTACGTATTGCGTAAAGCGTAATCGGAAGGTTTCCTGAATTCAGCGTAATATGTAGCCAGTTCTCAAAATTTAGCGTAGAGCGTTGTCGGGACCCCCCCATGTAAGCCCCCATTTATCCCATTTTTCCACATCTTTCTTCCATCCACCTAAATTGCCACAAGGCCTGTAAGATGGTGATCTAGACGAGAGAGACAACTCAGGAAGAGACTGTCTGACACCACACACCCTGGATCAACAACAAGTGTTTTTCATTTTGACCTCGCGGTAATCGACCTCACCACCAAGTGCACAGTGGACAATTAGCCACAGACACAACAAACAGGCCGTGTCACCTTCCCTGACCTTTGCCCTGTCAACTCCGTGTGGCATCAGGTGGCATAGTGGTAGAGCGTTCGACTATGAAGCGGGAAGACCTGGGTTCGATCCCAAGTCGTACCCGGGACATGCCTGAACATGCACACCACGTTGTGTCCTTGTGAAAGGCACTTAACACAACTTTCCTCACTCCACCCAGGTATGAATGGGTATCTAACTTCGGTTGGGGAAAGTCGTATTGAGGTCACCTTGTGGCACCGAATGGCAGCCGCACAGACCCTTGCGACAGTTCCACAAAAAATTGTGGAGCAAATATGTTGTGTATTATTTGATTGTTGTGATTTGTATTGATTATTATGTGATACCCTGCATCAATTCAGCCGTATAAAGGCTGCGACTGCACGGGTACTGTTTGGACAATAAAACCATTTATTATTATTATTATTATTATTATTATTATTATTATTATTATTATAACTCTGACCCTTACCTTGCACTGGAAGTCGCACAGATCTCGGTAGGTTCTGTTGACAGTAGTGAGAGTGCCGTCCGACCAGCTGACCTGGAAAATTTGAGAAGAGGCGTAAAATGCAAGTTCTAGGTGACACAACTTGATGTAAGATTTCTCAAGTGTCATGAGGACTATTCCAATACAAAGATTGGGGGAGGCAGCAATTTTAGATCCTTGGGCCACAGCAAGTACATTCCAAATCTAATGCGAGCGGGCGAAAAAAAAACAAGGTGGGCCGAAAAAAACAAGGTTCCTACATTTTAAAATTTTGACTCAATCATTGTACAAATGGTTTTGATTCAGTGGGAACATCACATATACACAGCCAGCATCACATATCACTGCATCAAAGTAAGAAACAAAACATTAAATCAGAGCCTTTCTTGTCTCCTCTCTTCATAGTTATCTGCCATTCACCATCAACAGATATCTTTGCCCATTTGCGGCATGGTGATCACTGTCAAAGAACAACAATTTATTGTTTTTTTTCCTCAAACATCAGGCATGAATTAATGCATGCACTGATATCATCCATAAAAATTACTTGCTGTGGCCTTAGCTGTGAGTATGAGTTGGGGGAGGGCAACTTGTAAAGGTGCGTATGCACCTGTTTTGCCCTCCCTTTCACTTTGTGAAAAATCAAAATAAAAAAATAAACAAGTTCTTACCTGCATGGTGTAGACACATCCTCGCTCACGTCCACCTGTCTTCTTGCAACCTTTGACCTCGATGGATCTGACGTAAACTGCGGAGGAAAAGAACAACTGTTAGTCTGGAAAATCTATTGTCTTCTTTCAATACAATATCAAGCAAAAAGTTTTGTGTATACATGTAAATGTACAGTATTCCTACTAGCAAACATGCAATTTTGTACAAAAAGTATGGGAGCATTCAAATATTATTGTAAAATTTGATTGAGTCATTTTCAACAGTAAATTTGGCCAACACTGCTAAAACACCAGCTAGGGTCAAGACATAAGAAAAATCTTGTTTTCACTACTTTTGATATGCTTATAAGTTATACAACAGACTTATGTATATTTAATTGTTACATGGTTGGACAACAATGAGCAGGTTTACAGTACAACTTTGCAGTTTTAAGGCCACACCAATTTAATTTGTTGGTTCTCTGATTTTTTCAGAAAAAATATGAAGCGACAAGGCGAAAAAAAAAAAATAAAAACAGGTCTAGGCATCCTAGCCTGGGTACCATCCTACTTGTATGCCGGGGCTCCCACACTCGCTTCCCTAACAAGTTGTTAGGGAAGCGAGTGTGGGAGCCCCGGCATACAATAGGATGGTACCCAGGCTATAGGCATCCTAATTATAGCCCCAAATGCTACAATACGAGCCATGAAGTCAACACAAAAGGATTCTGATTTTTTTGCAAATCAGAAAAAAACGAAAAGGCAAATCCAAGAACCAATAAATTAAATTGGTGTGGCCTAACCTTGTACATTGTCTTTTTTCTTTTACAAAAAAACCATTATCATTCCAACATCTATCACTTAGGCAAACATTTAATTAAATGAACATACTAGTGCAAGGTACTTGTTCATGACATTTCTTACAAAAGTTGGAATGTAACTTATAAAGCAAATGGATATTTTTAGCAGGTAAATTACACTGAAGGAATCCACACAATGTAGACTGGGGGAAATGTGTGCGATAAGGGTGAGAAAAATGTTGGACAATGCCAGCTGGAGCGATATGTGACTATACAGGCTTTCCATGGGTTCTAAGTTACTATCAAGACAATGACGCAAACAACTATGGTCTTTACGTCATAGCATTTTATCGCTAATACATAATAATGGTAAATATCATTCACTTATGATACTATTCGAATATTACGTATGAAGCAACGTTATCTTACCTGGGAGCTACAATAATTTTTCAATAACAATGCATAAATCTTTCATATATTAATACTTTCAGTGCCTTTTTTATCCTTTATTTGCAAGGAAAGTATGTAATATATAATGTGAGACTCTCTAAATCTACAAAAATAATTAGGGTAAAAATTAGCAATTTACTAGTACTTTTATTAGATGAAAGTAATCACCTAAGCCAGCTTACAGTATAACACGCCTATAAAGCTGAGTATCACTGTTCAAGCAATTTACCACCCATCGTTTTTTTACAAGCAATCTAATGAATACAGACAGCTGAATGGGTTCACCAAGCATGATACACATTTGTAGGTACATGTACATATATATATGGAAATGTAAATTTATGTAATACACTGTATATGACATACTGTATATGACATTAGAAAGGTAACATTTGCAAAGCAAATGCATAATGTTTACCTTCGCATATGGTCTACTCTGTTAATTCTTACTCAAATACATTCACATATATGGTCAGACAGGAGTATAAATCCTTCCTAATATAAAATTGCAACATTATGTAACCCAACACCAGTTACCATGGTGAGAGACGTCAACAAATCAGGTCATTGGCCAGGTCAGAGGTAAGTGTTTGGAATGGAAGAAGAACAAGAAACAGTGCAAAAACAATATGTTTTCCTTCAGTAAACATAAATATCAGATGCTGCACATATACCTGTCTCAAGAAATACACTGTAATTAAAGTAAAGCCCCTAGGGGTGGGTACCGGTCCAGGTGGACCGGTTCGGACCGCAAAAATTTTATCGGTCCGGTCCGAAAAACCGAAACGTCAGTGGACCGGTTTTTTGGACCGGAACAAAAATTTAAACTTGTAGTTACTGATGATCACTAGATACAAGAATCCTGCCAGGAAAATGAACATCTAGCCTCAAAATAGAAGAAATTTACCTTAGTTTCCGTATCTCTCATTCTGCAACAATACTCTCCATATTTTCATTACCAATAGTCATCTAGAAATCATAAAAGAGAACTTTACAGGTTGCGTTTGCTTCGGATCGATCAAGCCGAAAATCACTGGCACATGGTCAGACTGTGCCGCACATAAATTTTCACTCGAAATGAGAAATTAGTACCCAACAAAACGGACCATTTGGTTCCCAAGGCTGTATTACTCTTTTGTTCTTGTGGTCAACTTGTTTTCTTTGCTTGAATCGCGTAAAATACCAAGGAAAATACAAGGAAAGTTCGGGAATCGGCTCTGAACTGTGCCGAGCGGCGGCCATCTTGGATCCCCAAATTTGGACCTGCAATTTGGCCCAAACCGCTAGAGGGGGCGAATGCACAAAATCCTGCGATGTGATTGGTTGGGAAGTTTAATGTATTAATATATTCGGTTCTGAGGTTTTAGCCATAGCCATAGGACAAGAGGAGAAGCTTGATAATGTATAGAACGGATAAAATAGGGTAGAATAAAATTAAAACAGGATAAAATAAAATAAAAAATAAATTAAAAAAAGATAAATTTTAAAAAATTAACAAAAAATAAATAAAAAAATTTTGTAGTGGTTACTTATACATTAAGCATTTAGCAATGATCATTTAGCAAAAATTATTTGGTACTGATACTCCGGTGTCCAGAATCAGGTACAGGTACAGGTCCGGACCTGGACCTGATCCTCTGGACCTGGACCTGGACCTGGACCTGAAAGAGCCGAACAGGTACCCACCCCTACCCCATTTACATGTGGTCTAGTTACATATTGTTGGTCCTGTTCATAAGTAAGGATTCGGTGTTGAAAATCATCAATTTCAAATTTCCATATGCCCAGTTATCAAAATGTCACTGTCACTATCAAAAAGGCTTTTTGCCAACAATGTACAGACATCCCATCCTTTGATCTTGTTGGAAACTGCACCTCAATTATAACTAAGTTCAAAATTCTAATCCCCTCTCACTGTCACTGTTGATAGCTTGCAGACTCTGACCCAATTTACACGCAGGTAAAAACCTGATGGTATGAAAACTGCATACGCACACCAGCGTATGAAAAATGCATACGTCAAAATTTTTCCTTTGTATGAATCAGCCTGCTTCAATGTATGTCAAAAAGGTACGTACAGATCGTATGTTACCTCATTGAGGGCTGGCGTACGATCTAAACGTACATTCTTGACGAATGCAACTTGCTCGCGTGCGTACACAGTTTTCGTACCACGAGTGTAAATCAGGTCTCAGTAAAAACCCTAGGCCTGACCCTGAAATAACTGTTGATAAATCAGATTCCCTGCATTCCTATAGTACAAAACGTCTGGGGCACATTATGGAAAAGTTACAATTCCGCTTAGAGTGTTGATAGTTGGTAACTGTTAGCTATTCCACATACCTCCAGGCAGTGATACACCCTAACCTGTCCCAATATTTCACATATTAGGGCTTGAAATACTGGGTACCCAAAACTGGAGTTGTGCACCTAATTTTTTTCTTTGGGTGCACTGGTGCACCCAAATATTTTTGTAGGAATTTTTAACATTAGAAATGTATAATAGTATACCGGATATTCTTGGTCTCTAAGTATCAGAAAAATAATAAAATCTTTGTTGCAGTGCTTGTTTAAGATTTTGAAGTTAGCTCTCATTTTAGATTCAAGCTCAGAAGAAGAGCAGTAAGACCTGCAATTAGGTTTTGTTTCATAAAATTATGGTGCACCGAAAAAATTTTTTGTGCACCTAATTTTTTCAGGTTGGGTGCACCAGTGCACCTATTCCCAAAAATGGATTCTGAGCCCTGCATAAAATTATGTATTAATCCTAGTAGTAGTACGCCCTATGGGAGCGTACTACTATATCAAAGCTCACTGGTTTGCACATCAATAACACGTAATCACTGGTATAACCTTGGCTGCTGAAGGTTAAAGGAATTCTATAATGTATTTAATTACCTCTACACACATACTCTCATGCTTCTTTATCAATAGAAAATGAAGAAGTGTTGTTGATGAGAAAAATGTCTTATGATTACAAAGGACTTGAGAGGTTCACAAAGTCTTTGTCAAGAATACTACAGACAATGTGATCATCTCTATATTTACGTTGATAAAGGTTGGACATCCAGGTAATAAGATACACCAAAAAGCAGTTACTCAAGCAACTAGATATGATTTTGGAAACAGTCAGACATTTCAGCTAGTATCCACTAGCTTTCGTCTGTGACTGAGAGACCAGAGGAGAAATGCAGGTTTATAAGCACAAACTATTGATTGATATGCAAATAAGTGAAGACACATCTCTATATTATTACCTTCGCCAAGAAGGTTATGTTTTCAGTAGCGTTTGTCTGTGTGTGTGTGTGTGTGTGTGTTTGTGTGTGTGTGGTTTAGCAAGATAACTCGAGAAGCAGTAGATGGATTGGAATGAAACTTGGTAGGTGGGTAGGTCTTTCTGAGACCTAGAAATGATTAGATTTTGGGCCCCCTGGTGGCTTTCCTAGGTACTGCAGCTGAACTTCCGGTTTTGATATCTCATGTTCTGGACATGCTAGGGTCACGAATTTTGGTTGGTAGATAGCTCTTGGAGCAGGGAAGAAATGACATGAGTTTGGGTCCCCTAGCGCCCTGTTCTAGAACTGCAGGAGCATTTGTTGAAAAAAATTTGAAGGACGATAACTCAAGAACCGGTTGACGTATTGTTGTGATTTTTGGTATGTAGGTAGTTGAAGTGATGCTTGACATAATCAGATGACAATTATGCAAATCAGGAGCTAATTTGCATAATTAATGAGGAAATTCTATAAATCTGCTTTGTTCGATAATAGAACTATGAAACACTTGTGACATCTACTTGAGAACGAGAAAAACATCTGAGGGTATAGATTATGTAAATGAGGACCTAA